AAATGGTTTTGTGGCTCTGGATCCCCCGTCCCCCGGAGCCATCCATTCCATTCCAGGTGATTTCATTCGTTTCATTTGTAGAATAAATCTATTTTACACACACGCACATGCACACACACACAAATCTCCAGATGAAGCCCGGAGAAGAATTAAGGGCTAAAGCAGGCTGTAATGTAGGCACAGCCCTGGTTAGACAGAAAAAAAGTTGTATTAGTCTCCAAATGGGGTGGACTCCTCCTTGCCTGTCTCAAATTATCCTCAACCTTGGCCCTGATTTCCTTTCAGCATCCACTCTTGAAGTTAGGGCGTATGCTCTGAAACAGACCTTTCATGGAGCTGGCTGTTTCAGCCGCGTCTGGAGTTTGCAGGCTCCGGCCGGGGTGGGGGCGTGGGGCACCAGGCTGAGGTGGGGCGCTGCCTCGGGAGCAGGAGGACCGCAGGCTCCTGAGAGACAGAGCACCAGTGTTCACTGTAGCTGACTCCAGTATTTATTTAGTCTGGATTTCCTGTGTAGTCAGCTTTCCTCTGGGACTACATGAGAACCAGTCTGCTCTCCTACAGGCCTCTGGGCAAAGCTGATGATTATAGTAGGAACATTTATTAACTGTCTGCTATTTCCCATCTCCTATACTAGCTATTCTACATCTGGTGTCTGATTTAGTCCTTTCAGTAAATGTGTATGCTCGGGACTGTTAACCTTCTGTGACTAGAGGAGGATTTAGAGATTGGGATTTAGAAAGGTTAAGTATGTCTTGGTCACACAGCTCGTAAGAGACGGTGACAGGATTTGAACCTGAGTTTGTGTGCTCTCTCTTGCTCTCTCTCTTTCACTCCCCACTGCCCCACTAAAGAGGGTGATCTCTAAAGAGACCATCATTTTTACATATTTTCACTGTCAGCCAGATTGAAACAAGGGCAAAACCTTCATTGTACTTTTTTAATCCAAAATATTTTCCTAAAAGCCTACTATGTACCACCAGCCACTATTGAGTACTTGGGATTAAAAAAAAAAATGACTCGGTTCTCAAGAGACTTGTAGCTGTGTTGCAGTTGGTATCTGGGGGCTGGGTGAATCTCAACTGTGGGGCTGGCCCACGTATCGTAGAATGTGTGGCAGCATCCCTGACCTCTGCTCGCTAGATGCTAGGATCACCCCCCCCACACACCCAGGCATGACAATCAAAAACATCTTCATTTTTGGACAGTCACACCTGGTCAGGAGCCCCTGATGTTTTTTGCTTTTTTTTTTTTTTTTGTTTTGGTGTAGGGGAGATTATTAGGTCTATTTATTTATTATGAGTTTTTGTTGTTTTTTAATGCAGGTCCTGGGGGGGTGAACTCAGGACCTCATGCACGCTAAGGGTGAACCACCTGAGCTATGCCCTCCCCCCCGGGAGCACCTGATCTTGAGATAGGAAGGTGGTGTCAGGCTGGTGTCCTTTGGAGGAGCTATTCACTGCCTCCAAGGGACCCTGTTCCAGGCAACTGGGCAGGAGTCACTGCTGAGGGAGGTGGAGGGGTTCCTAATTATTCTGCGTCTCTAGCCTGTACCTGAAACACATTCATTTATTATTCGTATTGAGTGGCCTTTAAGGAAAATTCGTCATTTCCCCCACATCCGTCTCCCTCTGGCGTGCAGTTCAGCATTGCCTCACCCTTGTTTTGTATGAGCGGATTTGCCACGTTGCTCTGTCCCCAGACTTGCATAACAGCAAAAAGCTTTATGCAGCCTGGATGAATTCACAGAGTTAAGCCAGCAGGCTGCAGAGTAATAATCCATCAGCTTAGGTGATATAAAAGGTCTCGCTTAGTCCAGGAGAAAGGACAGCGCGTGCTGAAGGCCCTCTAATTCCAGAGTTGTTTTTTGCTGTGGGACGTTGTCTTTCTACTCCTCCACGGTAGAACACACAAGTAATATTGAATATGTGAGTCTGCATTTCACAAGATCAGTGTATAAACGTAACCACATTTTATCTTTTTACAGATGAATGCAGTATAGAGCATGAACTTTTCTCATCTTCTCTGGCGACATTTTTCCTTCCCACCTGTGATTCCCTCCTGCTACTCTGTTCCTTCACATCCTGTATTTCTAGGGAAATGAAAGAAAGGCCAACAAATTCGCTGCAACCTGTTGTTAGCAAATGGATTTTTCCCTAATTCAGAAACATCTGTTACCCTGAAGGGCTTCATGCATCTTTTTGAAGGTAAAATTGAGAGGCCCTCTCCACAGAGTGGGTTTTACAAATGAAAAACATCCAGATACACCAGAAACACCAGGATAGAGTGAGAGTCCTCTGGGAAAGGTGAGAAGTTTTGCAGCATCCAGCAAATGCCACAGAGTCAGTGCCCAGTTGTTCCAGGTGGTGGTCACACGGTTATGTAGGCAACTTCTAGATGCAGGATTGGAGTATTTCTGTTCTGGAGAATTCTTATTTGTTCTCTCTGCTTTAAATATGGCTGGAAGTTTTCCAGGGGTTTACCTATGAAATAGTACAAAGTTAAGCTTATATAGAATTATATCCCTTCTTTATCAAAGGTAGCCATCCTGTATCTGGGCAGGGGATAGGAGTTGCATTCTTTATTTTATTGTGTCTTCCACACTGGCCATTGGAAGCAGAAGACAAATTCTCACTCTTGGGAGAGTTAGCTTTTCTGTCTGTTATGGCTTTTTGATGCTGGCTAATATCAATAGAAGGAAGTAAACTTTCTTAATTCATGAGTAGTGTTTTCCGTTTAAACTTTAATATCCAAAGGTGAATGTATTCTGCCTTCATCAGTGGTCACTAGTAAATGAGATTGTCTCCACAGTTCTGTCAAGGGAGCCAGATTAGTAAGAGCTCTTTGAAGGCAAATCCTGTTATTTTTCAAAAAGTTGAAATTAATCATAGATATAGACAGACTCAGAAATTTAATGCATGTTTTTTAAATGGGTTCACTTTATTGTTATTCACTGGTATTTAGTCTTAGTCATAAAACTGTCAAGTTGAGGAGAAAAAAGAGTAACTGACAAATCATTAAAACCAGAAATTATGAGAATCAAATAGTTTGAAAACTCATCCTATGTAACCATGTTAAGAATTGCATATTTTTCACTGATAAATGTGTTTCTCTCACAAATACACTGCAAATGGTTCCACTGTGCTTTTTCTCTCTTGTGCTTTTTCTAGACCCTTTTTTGGACTGGATGTTGTTTGTGAAGTGTGTTGTGTTACTTCCCTCCTCCCTTCATTAGTGCGGACATAAAAAAGGCATTTAGGGGGTGCGTTTGACAGGGTTCTTCTAGATAATTTTCTCAGACTGCTATCTGCAGCTGCATCTTATTTTTCTGCTGTCACCACCACAGTCATACTGTGTAAATACTGTATTTTTCTGGTAGGGATAAAGTTTTCTTGAAGTCTATTTTAAAATTAAAGTTAAAGTATATGTATTACATTAAATATAATATGCACATGGTACTTTCCTTGGTACTAAACACAAATTAAATCCTCCTCTCAGTTTTTACATAAGATGATTGACTTGAACCTCCCTGGGTTTGAGTTGATTTTTTAAGTTTGAAATAATGAAGGAACAAGACAACAGTTAGAAAAATTGTTTCCGATTGCTAATATTTAACTATTTGGTGTATCTTTGCCCTCTAAGAATGCTTTGACATAGTTTTATTTTATTACAACAGCCAAGAGAACTTTGTTTACTTTTTAAAAAGTATAGTCTCTTATAAATAATATTTTGGTGTAAAGATTTTAAAAGTTACTCGCATTATGTGTAGGTTTGATGTTTTTCTCATCTTTTCTTATGATTAAACATAAAAATACATCAGTCCTTATTTTTAAATAAGATTAATGCCATTTTCCTAAGTGTTGCCCTTTCTTACCCAGATTAAGATAAGTCAGTGGAAGAGCTCATAGAGGAAACATTGTTGGAACAATCTATACTGAGTACCATGAAAAGCAAATGAGCAAAAGTCCTTTGGTCTTGGTGACCACAGCTGCCTCCAAATGCAGAAATAATCTGGCATTTATTTTAAGTGAATTTCAGTACTGCTAATACAAGGTTTTAATTTTAAAATACATGTAAAATGGGACTCTATCTTGTCTCCACAGCAGCGTCTAAAATCCCCACCTCATTGAGGAGGTGAGATATTACTAAGAAATTACGCACCCACAACAAAAAGCTGCCGTTTTTTCTCTGAATGTTGTAAGCTAGAAAGCCGTGAGTCTCATCTTAATCACTGTGTCCCACTGGACACCTTGTGTAGTGGTACCTGGCCCACAGTAGGCATCAGAAACGCCTAGACGTAGTTCCTGTGCTCAATGGAGCTCCCAACCCAGTGATGTAAGAGAAAACCTTAGTTGTTTAAAAAAATTCATTTTTCACAGGTCTTTTTTCTTGATACATGTATTTATTAAGCTGTAAAAAGCAACACTACCTAATTTCATTTAAAATAAATATTTTCCAATTTCAGAATACTTACAACTTATAATTTTAAGATTAGATTCACTTTGGGAGGTTCTGGAAGCAAATACATTCATAGCTGTACAATCCCCAGGAAGAATCTAAATCCAGCATCAGGTCATTCAGTCCCTGCCAGGCAGACAACAGCATCAAATGGTCGATAGCTTATCCAGCTCTGCAGCTAAAGGGCAGTGTGGGGCAGCAGTGGGTTACAGCACAATACACTCAGAGACGAGGTCATTAGAAATGAGGCCAGCAAAAACAACAGTGTATACAAAGCTTTAAATAAACACACTGTGTAGAGTTCTCATGATACAGAAAAAGCACATATGATCCTAAAGGCAAAACAAAAAGATCTTTGGAGTATATTGATGACAGCAGTTAACAGCATAGTTAAAAGCATTTAAATCAACAGCAAACAGCCAGAGCAGGAACCAGTGTACAGTGATAAGTAACCTCATGAGTAAATAAGGGCACATTTAACTAAACCACAAAGATTTCACAAAATAGTTTTAATCTGAGAAAAGATGAAACTCTTTGTTCCCAAATAATAGTTAAAAACCTCTTTTAATTAGAGAAAAGCCTCAAAATCATTGGTAATCTTCAAGCCACATAATTGAACCATCTTAATGTTTCCTTTAAATCACACCAAACAAGCTGCTGTTTGAGCAGTTACTTTCATTGATTTCAGTCAGAGAATGTCTATCCCATAATATCTTTGGAGAGAACGCTGTTCCTCTGCAGGATTTCACAAACACTACCTGTCTGCATGGCTTGTTAGATCCCACCCACCACATTCCCCACAGAAGCACACACACGGGAATGGCTTCGTGCCTGATGCAGCTCAGTTAAGGAACGCTGTGGTTCCACCAAAGGAGGCGCCAGCCAGGTAATAAGAGGGTGGTGGCTGAAGCCACTGATTGAGACCAGAAGCAATAATCAAGACACTTGGAGGCTGTTAGAGTGGGAAAGGGCTATTAGGCATGATAAAGCTTGGAAGCAGCAGTGTGTGCCAATAGAAAAGGGGGGAAAAAAAAGGTCTATATTAATGTAACAACCAGCATTCATGTAGTAGAGGATTCTGCTCGTTTCACTAAACACAGCTTCAAAGAAGTCCATTTGTATGTGTTTGTGTGTGTGCTTAATACCAGAAACCCTCATTCACCCCTGTACCTTGGAGGTTGGTAGAATGAAGTTTATGTGCAGTTCCTTCCCCAAGACAAATGATGGGTCTTGATTTAAAATGAAATGGCCTTTCCTTATTATTAAACTGTAAAGTCCACCAAAAATAAACAGTAGAGAATCAAAAGAAAACTGACTGGGTCATCTAGTGAACAAATATCTTGATGCAGACTTTTAATGACAGGTTTAAAAACAAATGCTATTTGTAGCAGTTCCCATACCTTCATAGTAACTTTGGTTGCTTGGAGCACTTCTGAATTTCTCTTTATCCTGAAAGCTGAAAAATGTCTTCTTAAAGAGCTGCAGTAGCACATCCCTTCTTTTTTACTGGCTGATGAATTTGACTAATTTGTACTTAATAATCTGTCTCTGGTTCATCTTCTGTAGACACATGGCATAGTTACAGCTAGGATGCCAGATACATGAGGCATTTTCTGATTTGTCATGGAAAACGTGAAAACTGCATAGACTGCCAGCACCCACTTCCCAGCGAAAGGAAAGAGGCAAATAGCTCAGTGTCTGGGAAGAGAGGTTGGGCTAAGGGGATATAGAAAAAGGAAATGTTTTCAAAAGTATTATAACTACATTCACACATGTTTTGGTCACCAAACATATCTTAAACAGATTCCCTGATAAAGTCTAATCAGAATTGGTCAATCTACTAACAGTTGTTAACTATTATAATTTTTAGAGTCACATCATGAAGCTAGGATGATGGGAGACATTTTATACACATAACCGTTAAGTGCATATAGTTGTTCAAACATTTAAACTAAATCTGTATTTGAAGTCATGAAAATCACACTATTTTGCTTCTAAAGGCAGCCTTGACCCATTTGGACAGACTGTACAACAGAGTTTAATTTATAAATGCATATCAGCAGATCATCACCATAAGTTGAAAATTCACAAAATAGACAAAAATAAATCATGAGGACCACACAGTTAAGCTAGCATTGGTAACTATTTCTTTTACATCAAATTATACAATGCACGAGGTAAATATTGCTCACATTATGGAGGGAGATTGTTTTATTTCTATTTTTTCCCAAAGAGATCAGATTTGTCCTGTGCACATAATGAAGAAAACTCCAGTAACACTGAAATGACAAATGTTGTAAATATACATCACTACCAGATAGAAATACACATGTTCTTCGTAATCATTTTCCACAATTAAATAGGTAAGTGATTTAAATCTTGGGCTTACGACCATTATAGCAATCCATCAAGATTCTTATGGACGGTTTGATTTTCCTTTCCATTGTCGGAATCTCCTTGAGGCGTGTACTGAACTTGGTATTCCTGCAGGATTTTAAATACGTCATGGTGGCCAAAGTGCAGCGCTTCATCCATGGGAGTGTTATTCCACCTAAGCAAGTAGCATAGCATGGACTGCGTCATTAGGTAATTTCTGTACAAAGGTGATAATCCAGCATTCTTAGATTTTAAATGCAGGTTAAAGGGCCATTCAGATTTAGCTGCTTAATATTGAAGAAATGCAGAAAGGGATTTATAATCCAAAAAGTGGTCTTCGGAGACAACTTGGGATATGAGGAGGAAGGGAACCCTATCTTCTAGAAAAGGATCCTGTTCACATTATGTAAGTGCTTATGAAGGGAAAGTCCTAGTGTTGACAGATAGGATAGAGTCCTCGAGTATTCCTGAATTTTAACTTCATGAAAAGCCCAAAGGATCTCTCTTTAAGTAAAATGTTTAAAGAAAATTCAGCTCTATAACATCCATCACCCTAGCCTTTGATAGAAAATTTGTGTTCCTGTTGGTGCAGAAGCACAATAAATCTCACAAGCCTGGAAATGAGCAGGATCTCATTAGGCTCAGATATACATTGGACGAGCAAAACGGGCCCCAGGGGAAGTGACATTTTCCTCCTCTCTGGGAAGGACTGGACTCCGTGGTCAGGCAGACCACTGCACAACCAGAAGAACTGCCTCATAGGCAGTGTGCTTCTGGGCTGTGCTTTTTAGAGTCATACAGATGAAGACTGAAGGTAAGAAGAAACAGTTTCCAGCAGTGGTTAGTCAACTAATTAGCCTCTTGAAAGAGGAGACAGCACTGTGTAACTCAGAACCCAAGTGAATGACCTAGTAAGCCTATGAGTTCTCTAGTATGTCACAAGCTATTAAGCTTCTCATCGCGTCCTCTCTCTACTTATGTCACTTAACTTCATAGCCACCAGGCTCCCTGACTCCATTTTTTCACATGCCACGATCACCAGCTGCAGGTTCTCCTCCTTTCCATTTCTTCTTTTCTTTCCAACTTTGTCCTTAACTTTTTACCTTCTCAATGGGGTGATGATGGGGAACTGAAAGGTCTTTTTAAAATAGTCTCACTTGAAAAATATTGTTGAATTAAGTTTGGTAACCAGTTCTCAATTTTTAAAATCAGGTAAGTAACATATTACATGCATCTTTGTGCTTCTCGAAAAACAGCTGAATTTTTTAAAGTTGCCTTTTACTTCTATACTGGCCTTCATTAAGTTAGGGAGTTGGTGGCCTGAAACCAGGAGGTGGGGGGACTTTTCATTCATCTACAGCATATAATTATCTGTCTTCCTGGAAAACTGAATGTTAACTGCAAGTTACTTTCTTTTTTTAAACAACTTTTCCGTGAAATAATGCAAAATATCAACTCTAAAGAATATACTAAATTTGCTCAAGCCTCTTTTTCAGTTTGAGGTAACAATGATTCTACGAATTAGAGAAAAGAGATGTCTTGGTCTAGCTTACATTCAAGTTAGTTACTGAGCTAACTTTTGCCTCTCAGATGGGTACTTCTACTTCTACCCTCCTGGAGGCCAATTCAGGGCAAAACCAAAACAAGATATTTTGATCCTTAAACATGCAAGGCACAGTAGATATTTTGAGCCTATGTTAAATAGTATTTTACTTGGGATTACAGACACCAGGGGAAAGGAGGAATCACTCTCTTCAGTTTCTTGCTCTAGAAAGAGCTGGTATGGGTATTACATATGGGTAAAACAGGGGATTGTCATCATAACATGAGGTTTTAAAATATTGCCAATAAAGGTCATGATTTTAGGTAATCATAGTGTAGCTACACTTAAAAAATTGCTAATAATTTTCAGACAGTGATGTTGTAACTTCTGCATTTCTTGCAAGCTGAGCTAAGAACACTCAAACCTCTAATTTAAAAAACAGTAAAACATGAGAACAAAGATCTAATAGCTAGAGAATAATCAACTTGCTCCAAACTTAATACAGTCCTCAAACAGCCAA